ATCTTAGCAGTATTGAGAGATTTGTCTTCTAGATCGCTGGTTCTTGTTTCTATCTCTTCAATTCTGCTCCTTTCCCCTTTCAGTGTATTGTTCATTTCTAATATTTTATTATTAATCATCTGCACCTCTTTTTGCAGGTTTTGAATTGTTTTCAATGCTGTATCGATTTTGTTTGATTGCTCTTATAGTACTTTATTGACTTCTTCCTTGTTTTCCTCCACCTCTTTTTGGAGCATTTGAATTTGTGTCCATATCATTCTTCTGAATTCCTTCTCAGGCAAATCCAAACATACTCTTCCTCTTCTAGAAAGCCTTTGTCTGTCTTCAGCTCATTTGTCTGTTTGGGACATGTTTTATTATCTTTGTTGTTTTTTGTTCATCATATCCAGTAGTTATGTGGATTTTTAATGCTTACATGGATGTTTGTTGCTGTGTTATTAAGCTTCCTGGGTGTCTCCTGGCGGATATGACCAGGAGATAGGCTTTTCTTTTCACATGTAATGTTTAGCAGCTGTTATTGGCTCTTGTCTCAATGGTGGAATATTATGGGATATGCTTGTAGCTTGGCTATATGGCCATGAGTGCTAAGTCTTCTTGGGTAATGTAGGGAGAAAAAGCTCCCACTTCCAGGAAAAATGTATGATCAAAAGGCCCCAAAGCAGAAGCAATATAAAAGCAGAGTCAAAAACCACCACTTTGAAACAAATATAAAACTGTGGCCGACTGTCCAGTCACCGTGCTACACAGGTAGTGTGTGTGCACCGTAGAAGCCTCCAGTAGTGGGTGGGGGTGTCCACTCGCTCAGGCCCCTCCTCTAGTCACCACCATAGAGGTGCACAAATATATATTAAGAAGTTAATGGGAGAAAGATTGTTTACTATTTTTGTCTCTGAAGGTCAGTTAGGCATTTGTGTGTGCACAATGTAATTCTTGAAATAGTTGCATCTTTTTATGTTGAGGTTTTACAGATAGTTTATTTGGTTTGTCTGTCAGGCCAAACCTGCCTTTTTTTCTTGCTGGATAGGTAGGAGTAAAGGGTCCTGCACAAGTTCACTTTAGGGCTGGGACCCACAGGCAGAAGTCAAAAGCAGCAGCCACAGAACTTGACCTTGGACCCATGGGACTCTTTCTCTCATGGGAGAGCTATGGTCTCAACGCTGGACTTTTTGGGGTGTGTGCACCCACCTGCCTGAAGGATTCCGGGCTTGGCAAAGAAGGCGCAACAGGAAGAGGAGGAGAAAATGTGTAGAATCCCCCTACACCACCTTTTGCAAATGTCACTGCTCCACTTTTAGCGTGGGTTCCCTGTGCTGGTCTGGCTGTAGTCCCGCCCTCTGACCTCTGCCGGGTGGGATGGCTGCAGAGGGAGTCCCGTGTCTTGACCAATTCTTTTTTTCTTTTTTTCCAATAACCTGGTTTAATAAGGACTTGTTTATTTTGAGAAAAAAGTGTCCCAAGCATCAGGCTGTTCACAAAAATAACCCACAGTATCAACTTTAGAAAAAAAATTCTTATAAAACTATTACACTATTTTTCTAGAGGATGCATTTGACATGCCAACTCTCATTCACAAAAAATTACATTGTTACGTTGGTGTTGAACAGCCCCACACAGTACTTATGTGGGGTACAACACACAGACTTCTAACTCAGAGCTGTTCTCAAGTGCTACCCAACTAAATGAGATTGTCTGTTAGGGAAGCAACCACTGAACTCATATATGAATGGAAATAACTGTGCTCGCTGCATAACAAGAGATTATTCTGGAGACAGATGATAAAAACCATACATCCTATTTATTGTTAAGTCAAAGAAGTATCAAAATTAAAAGCAAAAATTACAAGGTAAGACTTAATGTAACTATTAGGAGTGTCAAAGGAAGTGAAAATGGGACCAGGCGCCGGGCAATATGAATGAATGAACGCAGGAAGGACAAGGATGGGGAGAACAGTGCGAATGTGGCTGAAGATACTAGGGGAGAGGATCTGGTGAAAAATATGATCATAGACAAGCGCCTAGGTAAAGAAATACCTGGCTAACATTTCTAAGCCCCACCGTGTGCTTAAGAGCCATCCTCGCCATTGGCGTTGTCTCCTTATCCTCTCCTTCTGCAGCATCTCTCTCATCATCCTTGATCAACTCCAGCTGGTCATTCCCCCGATCTTCATTATCATCCTCATCCAGTAGGTCCCCCCGCTCAGACTCCATCTTCACGTTAGTCTCATCTTTTTTTCAGGTTGCTGCTGCTCTGCTCCTCTTTGGATTTCTCATTCTTCAGCTCTGCTCCTTGTTGGCTTTGCTCCTTTTCAGGTTTTCCAGGCTTTCCAGTAGAGAATCCACTTTTTGTTTAATCTGGGTCAACTCCTTCTTAATGGTCTGAAGGTCATCTCCTTTCAATTTTCCAGACTTGGAAGAACATCCCCTCTGTCCACTTTTAGAATTGAAGCCACTTTTGCCCCTTCGTGAGGTGTTTCCTGATACATGCTGGCGTTTTGAGGGCACTACAGTCCACGTAATAGGAGGAGGAGGAACACGTGCTGGATACCTGTACATCCTGTCAGAATAATCCCACTGAAAGTCAAATTCCAAATCAAAAGAAGAGCTGAGTAGAGGGGATGGAGAACGGTGTTCTGGTCCTGACTCTGTACATCTCCACTGCAGATCATTTCACAACTGCTTTTCCTCTGTTCACTTTTGGCTCTGCAGCCAGATGACTATCTAAAACCTGGCCAGCTATCATTCTGCCATCCTCTCCTGCTGCAGCTACAGCAGCCCGGGCATTTCTCTCATTAACAAACTGAACAAAGGCAAAGCCCTTATGAACAGAGCAACCCACAGTTTTGCCAGACTTTGAGAAAATTGCGTCTACATCAGACTTACTGACTAGCAGAATATTGAGATTTCCATTATACACGGGAGTTCATAGAGCAAGGATCTGTCTTGTTGGTAACATTGCTGTCCATGGTATCTGACAACTGGAAAATGTAGCTGAAGATCAAAAATATCTCACTCAAGCAAAGTTCCACTAACATATATTTCAAATCAATTGTAACCAGGAGGGGGAAGGGAGAAGAGATTCGTTTATGAATCTCCTTATCCCGGGTTCTACGTGAAGAAGCTGACTGCTGATCGACGTTGGCAATGGTGACCTCAACCGTGCGTCTTCGTCTCTTCACAAAATGGCCTTGACCAATTTTGAATTTGCAATATTTTCCTTTAGATCCTGATTTTTCCACTGGCGGTTGCAGGAAACCGACGCCCTGACCCTTATGTTAGATCCAGAGCTCTGGTGAAGTTTCGTGAGAGCAGCGTCTCTGGGTTTTCAGCCCATCCCCCATGGAGCCTGTCCTACCTGACTCTGGATGGGTTTCTTAAACAAACAAACAAACAAACAGACAAAAAGTGTTGTTTGGTTTTAAGAAGACTTCAGGGGATCTTTTTGGTTTAAGGTTTAAAGAGCATCACAGGGCAATAGTTTCAGGGATTCATTCAGCCTATATGGCTCCAGACAGTCTGGAGTCCATGAGATTTAAAAATTATGTTCTGCATCCCTCCCCCCCCCCTTTTGATTAGGATTCTTTTGTACTATCTTTGATCAAAATGTCAGTCATAGTAAGCAGGCAACTTCTAGTTCTTCTTGTCTGACAGCATGTGCTCCATAACTACCACCTCTTTCTGATGCAAGGAGCCCAGGTGGTGCTGTGAGTTAAGTACTGGGAAATCTTGGCCATTGAAACCCACCAACCACTCTGAGGGAGAAAGATGCAGACATCTGCTTCTATAAATATTTACAGTTTTGGAACGCCCTGGGGGGCAGTCTCCTCTCTCCTATAAGGTTGTACGTTCCTCTTGTTAAGTACCCTTGAGTCAGTTTTGATGCCTAGAGACCTTGTATAGGGTTTCTGAGGAGCGGCTGGTGAGCTTGAACCGGCCACCTTGCAGTCTGGTGTATTAACCCACAGTGCCACAAGTTGGAACCAACTCCACAGCAAAAGGTCTGGATGTTCATTCCTGACTCTCCTCCTCCCTCTGTACTCCCAGAGACTAGAGACTAATTGATGTACCTTGGACAGCAGTATCCTTATTCACATCCACCTAGGACACCGGCTGCTGAAAAAGTCATCTTACAGTGTGCTGCAAACCCCACAGAGTACCGATCCGCTCTGCCCTTGAGGGTCACCATGCGTCCGAGGCGACGGCCACTGGCTTGGCTTTTCCTTGGTGTGCTTACCTGGTTGTTATGGTTTCAGGTTTTCACCTTGACTGTCTTCAGTTTGGGTTCTGAAAGGCACTTCGAGTACATCCAGAAGATCTTCAAAATGGAGGTAGGTTCTCGCTTAGGGTCCACCCAGAGGCTTGTGCTGGGGGGTGCTGTAGGGGAGGCTCCCGGGGTCACGGCCACCATGGTTAGTGGTTTTCCGAGGTTTCCCAGCAAAGGCAGAGGTGTTTTTCTTTACCAAATAGGATCAGTGGCTGCATTCTCCAGTATGGTAGAGCCGAGATAACAAGGCAGGGCTTTGTTAAAAAAACAGACTTTTTTTATTTCACGGCTCAGGAGGCTAGAGGTCCTGAACTAGGGTTCAGGGCTCTGAATCTCGGGGAAGGCCTTGTCTCTCTGTTGGCTCTGGGGTGGTGGCGGATGGTCCTTGTCTCCTTTCAACATCTGTGGACCTGGTGTTCCTTGGAAATCTCTTATGTGTTGGCATCAGGCTTCTGTTGGGTCTAAGAGGTTCTCAGCACTGGGACTCGGGGTCCAAAGGCAGTGCACTACTCTTCTTTCTTGGGGATAGTAGGTCCCTCTCTTTCCGTTCAATTCTCTCTCTTTTTATCTCTAGTAAGATGAACGGTATTGCAGACTGCACCTCAGGGAAAGTCAGGGCCGTGCCTTGAGTGAGGGAGTTTGGTCCAATCCCATCCCATCACACCATGGGAGATAATCACATCGTCACATAACTGCCAGGCACCCGAGGATAATCAGGGCCCAGACAATGTGATGCGCTGGGGCATACAATTCAGTCTGTAACCGTGGGTGTGTGTAATCCCTGGAGCCATAAGAATTGAGCTTTGCCCATCAAAACTACAGGGTCGCTGGGTGGCACAAAAGGTTTGCACCTGACAACTCACTTCAAGGTCGGCAGTTCAAATCTACCCATCAGAACCACGGAAGAAATGCCTGGTGATCTGCTTCTGGTGACAGCCAAGAACAGGGTCACATAAGTCAGAATCGGCTCAGGACTGTATTGTCTTTTGTCAGGATGAAAGCGTCTGTTGTTCTGACACTGAGAACTCAGCGCAGCTTGTGTCTCCGCCTGAAACCCAGTTCCCACACAGGGCAAGGTGTAGTGCCCGCCCAGCTCCATGACAGTCCTGTTGCAGAGGGTTCAGTAGGCACATGGAGACACGGGGTGTCGCGTCGGGGGGGAAATCCTGCTGAGAGCAGGAGTCCGACCTCACGCCCCTCTCTGCTGGTTCTAGATTTTCGGATGCTTTGCTCTGACGGAACTCAGTCATGGGAGTAACAGCAAGGCCATCCGGACTACAGCTCACTACGATCCCAGCTCCGAGGTGAGTCCAGAGTCCTACTCCCGAGAGGCTGGTGTGTCACGTGTGTGTGGGAAGCCCTCATGGTGACTCACTATGCAGGACGTGGTGTGGAAGGCACACGTGCCCCTGGTACTTCATGGCACAATCAGGTATGGTGCGTGTGGTCTCCGAGTGCTGGGAGGAAATGGAGTCATCTTACAGTGTGCTGCGTATGGAAAGCTGGGAGGTTCAAAGTCCACCCAGAGATGCTGTGGAAGAAAGGCGTGGTGATGTGCTGTGACAATCACAGCCACTGACAACCCCCTTGGAGTGCAGTTGGACTCTGACACGGGTGGGGGTCCCCACAAGTCACAAGGAACTTCACAGCAGTGGTTTTATGCTCTATGAGAAAGAAAATGTACCATCTGTTTCTACACAAAGACTTTGACCATAGAAAATGTAATGGAAAAGAAGTTTTTAAAAGCCTCATGTGTTTTAGGGGCTAACCAGACCTTTATCCCTGTGCACAGGAATTCATCATAAATTCCCCTGATTTCGAAGCCTCCAAATTCTGGGTTGGCAACATGGGGAAGACTGCGACTCACGCTGTTGTGTTTGCTCAGCTGTACATGCCAGGCGGCCAGTGCCACGGACTACACGCCTTCGTGGTGCAGGTGAAGGGGCGTGCTGGACAGGCGGAGGGGAAGTGGGCAGGGCTCGGGGATAGGGACTCATGGATACAGGGTGGGGCTTGGGGAGGTGGG